GGGACAAAGGGATGTGGTGTGGTTTTTAAGAAAAAGTGGAATTGTGTGGTTGGTATTGAATTGATAAAGTATGAATTAAGTAAGAATGAATTCTAACCACTCAAATGTTACCAAATATGGTATGCGACAAACTTAGTGGGACAGACGAAAAAGGTAAAACGGGACAAACTTAGGGGGACGTAGGGAGTACTACAAATATACTTCAACATACATATTTGTGTATACAATAAATCATACTCCCTCCGTCCCTGAATGTTCTTCCGATTGCGGATTACGAAGGTTGACCGACGATAAAGTTAAATGATCCCTGTGAAAACTCGGATTATTTTTAGTAAATAAAATTTACATATTCAGAAACTACATTAAACCCGCTACAAAGCCTGCACAAAAAAAATCAATTTTCATAAAGTTTTGATACAAAAAGTAAGAGTTTAAGAGTGATTTAAGTTGACTCTCGAAAAGCGAAATGGAAGTAAATTTAGGGACAGAGGGAGTAATTTTTTTGATCTTATAATATATTAATATATATATTAGAATGAGATGAACGGATTATCAATGTATTCTTTATATATAGCATTTTAATACATATATTCAATTATTAATATAATTAAATAGATTAACTATTCAAGTCTGAGTAATTTTTCATTAATTTTTGAAATTTTTAGCGTATCATGAATTTGATTTAATATATTAATTTTTAATTATTATTTAGATATAAACTTTATGTAGATCAGTAGATTCAATGGGTAACAACTTCCTACAAATAAAAATACATACTAGCAAATTAGGTTACGACGGGGCGGGGCGGGTCATGGGTCAACAAGTTTGGACCCGTGCTGGTCACGGGGCGGGGCGGACCCGCCCTGCCAAGTCACAGGGCGGGTCCGGGTTTTGCAGTACCCGCCCCGACTCAATGTCATGCCTAGTTGAAGTGACATCAAGTTTTCTGCTGCAACTAAATAAATGGGTGCTTACTTTTTTCACTCACGCATGGTTTCAATATGAAATGGCTGAAAAACATGTTTCTGTGAATAAAAGAAAGTAAGATGATGTCAGTATGTCACTTCCACACCATCCCCAATCCCAGCCTCCAACAGTTATACGGAGTAGTATATTGCAGGGGGTGAAGGGACAAACAGGATTCAGTTTCAAACCCGGACTACTAAAAAGAGTTAATATGTAACACCCCGATTTTAACGAGCTAGTTATATTAATCATTTTATTTATTTAGTCGGTTAAATAAGTTATTTTGTGAATAATGTGATTGCTTTATCATGTATTGTTATGGCAAGTAACGTTGACAGGTAAGTTCCAGAAATCATAAATGAATTGAATAAGTAAATAATGTTCTAAAGTTTAATGAGTTTATTCTGAAAGGGGGAAAATATATTATTTTCAGTTGGGTCACAAGTATTCTTAGTGGACTTGGAGATTCAAATCAGTTATTTTAGCCCAAATAAATCTATTTTATACTAAATCCCCAGAGAAGCTACGCCCTTCTTAGAGCATCTTTAATGGTAACGTGGATTGTATCTCTCAAAAAATGGACACATCATCCGTATAGACATCCCGTGTAGCTGACCTGGATGCACAGACCCTTAAATTCATTCTTCTTCTCCAATGGAGTCCTCATCTAAGCCTTCTTGCATTCCCTAAATAAAAACATTTGACTCTCGGTTTATACGCAAAAAATTGAAAAGGGAGTATACGGAGTGTAAAGAACGGCGAAATAGAAAATACAAAAAAAAAAAACGGCGAAATAGTGTGAAATGTAAATGAAGAAGAGCGATACAGGATGGCTGTTGCTTAGGGAGGAGAAGATCTGATTATTTGATCTGCCAAAAATTGACATGCTTGATATTACGATCACTGAGGCTAAGAAAACAACCATCTCTCAGTCTAGATACATTACAAGAACCAATTTGGAACTTGGAAGAATGAGCAGAGTGCTCGAGCTATGGAAATTGGAAGAAAAGGAAGTCTTATTTTGGAAGTTTAAGGAGTCGGAGAAGACGATCGCCGGAGAAAAAGGGACTGCCAGCCGATGCTGCCAAGAGGAGGAGTGCCACCAGGGGCGGACCCAGGAAATTCATCTTGGGAGGGCGGTAGTTCAAACAAAAAAAATTCTTTAGGGGGCGAATATTATTTTTCGTATATATATACACTAAAAAAATTTATTGTTGGAGGGGCGGTAGCCCCCCTGGGTCTGTACTACGGTCCGCCTCTGAGTGCCACCGCATGGAAAGGGATTGTGACTTGCGAGATGGTGCCGGAGTTGATCTCGCGTGGGATACTACTGTAGCGAGAAGGTTCGTAGCCGGAAGGGAATTACTCCGTATAATAAATGTTATGCTGAGTCAGCATGTCAGACACACCCGCTACAATTAGAAAGGCAGATAGACACCTTCGATTCATTTGGGTTACACCTCAGCACGATAGATGAAATGCATATTTGCGTTGGAGATGATAATTTTTGCAAGGTCTGGCGTGGCAATGCATTTAGTGCAATCGAAGCCCGTTAAAGATGCTCTTAGTCTTGGCCGCCGTACTCTCTAATCCATCCCAGACGAAATTCTCATCTTCTTTGATTCAACTCTTCAACTAAAGTTATAATCCGAGTTTTGTGACAACTGAAATTGGTATGTTGAATTTCCTTTGCTTCCATCTTCCTTTTTGCTCGTCATAATTGATTCGTCAATTCAATTTCTATCGAAGATTTCTTCTTCCTTCTCTGTATTGAAATCTCTTCCATGTTTAAGGATTTCTAAACTATCCTCCATATTCATCGCAACAGTAACTTGTTTTTTTACAAAAAGGGAAGTGAACATAATTTTTATTTGTCTTCCTACACTGTATAGCTTTTAATAAACGTGGGATTTAATCACTGATCAAATTGGCTGCTGCTACTGCTTCTTTTAATCGACTTTAAGGGCGGCTAGCAGTTATGTAATTCTTCTAGTTGGATGAGTTTTATTGATGCACCAGGATTGTATGCATTGTTTACTCCAAACTCGGAACTTTTAAATCTGCTTAAATGAGATTTTGATAATTACTTTCGTTACTTAGACTGTACGCAGTAGCTAGTTAGTACTCAGCCGTAGGATTCTTTTCTTTCTTTAAAGGGAAAAGGTGCAAATAGGCTCATGTACTAACTAAAAAAGGTCAAATGAGCCCTTATTTAGGAGGCTTTGTCCAGCCGTCGCCATTTAGAGTGGTTCCCGGTGGAATATTTTGATAAAAAAAATTTGAGCATCTTATTCATTAAGTCTAGTTTATTCATACCAAATTTCAGCTAAAACTTCAATCGGGAAGGCATTCAAATGAATTCTTGAAAATAACTGCGCAGTTATCTTCAAGAATTCATTTGAATGCCTTCCCGATTGAAGTTTTAGCTAAAATTTGGTATGAGCAAACTAGACTTGATGAATAAGATGCTCAAAAAAGTTCATCAAAAAAATCCACCGGGAACCACCCCAAATGACGACGGCCGGACAGAACTTCCTAAATAAGGGCTTATTTGACCTTTTTTTGTTCGTACATGGACCTATTTGCACCTTTTCCCTTCTTTAAACTTTCATTTATGACACAGGAAATTCTTTTTACCAATGTTGATTACTCCATTGATTTTAAATTGTGTTTTAAATTGATGGGCAGCAAATTAGTCTTGTTCCATGGTTTTCGAAAATCTGAAGTTTTGTTTTAAAGTTAAGTGGGAGATCACGTTTGTGATTTTAACAGTAGGAATTGAGATTTAAAGTTTTTAGCTGTTTGGCTCATTAAGACAAGACTTCTAAATTTTGACTATTCTAAATAAAGATTTAAGTGAAGAGCTTAACGGAAGACGTTATCAAGCTGCCACACTTCTTTGAGTAGTTCGAATTCTGCTTCTATCAGGTAAGTTCACTACCACCTGTACATGTTTGTTCAACCAAATAAAAGGAAGAAGTCTGGTTGATTTTTAATGGATGATTTTAGTCTATTTGTTATTATGTTAACTTGGTGAATTATTTGATGAGTTATTTTATTATTTGTCGTATCAAATTATGTTTATTATCTGGCATAGTCAAGATTATGTCAGTACTTTTATTTCAAGATGTTAATGGTGTTTTATCCAAACGTCACCATAAAAAAAAGAACTAATATTTAAAGTGAAAGATTAAGTGATATGTACTCGGGAACAAGTTCCCACAGAGTTACAGAGTTACAGAGTTATCAGTTTCAGAGACTCCGATATGTTTAGTGGGTCGCTCCCCTGAGCTATCGGATTGGCGCCTTTGAGTACATATCACGGGCCCACAGAGTAAAATTAGCCATAAAGAATAGTACGGAAAGTTGTTTAATGAGATCTCTTTCAGAAAGGTTTACAGAAAGTTGTTTAATGAGATCTCTTTCAGAAAGTTTACTGAGATGTTTTGAGAAAGAAATTTTGAGATCTCTCCTGCAGTTCTGAGAAATTATTTTAGAAAATATTTTCCTTTTGAGATCTCCCTCAGAATGTATTTGAGAAGTATGTGTTAGTTATTTGTTAAGTGCATGCTTATAGCCTAAAATTATCTATTGATAAATTGGCCTAGATTTCTAGATATTTTTTTTGGAGCCATAGTGACTTACTAAGCGTAAAGCTTATCAGTTTTCTTTATTCGCATGTACAGATATTAATGGTAAGGCCAATGCTTTACCATTGGCCTTGGCGGCTTTTTGCTAGATATTATTTTGCTTCAGTATTTAAGTGTTATAATAAAGAGATTATTATTATTTTATTTAAGGATTTGATGTTTGAATAAATTCCTGGATCCAGGTGGTTATCACATTTGCTGGTGATAACTAGATTTTATTGAGTTTTTATTTGGAGTTATATTTTAGTTATGTTTGAGTATTTATCAAGGTTATTTCTTAAACAAACGGCCGTTATATTACTAATTACAGTTTATTTTTTTAAAAGTAGTGTGCTAGTGTAACGTTTCCTTTAACCCTGAGAGGGGCGTTACATGATATAAATCGAATTATCTGCATTGTTTGACCGAAACATGACAATGGTTACATAGATTTCACCCAAACAAGCCAATAATAGGATCACGCAGCAAAGCTGTTCCAGATGCTGAATCATGTTGGCCTTAAGATTTATGGATGGAGGATAATTACAATTCTCAAGATTATGAATCCCATACATACTATTTTTCATCACAATAATAATGATCAGGACATCAAAGACTCAAAATTGCTATACGGACTTCGGTTTTTCATAATTTCAAGTAGTCCCTGAATCTAAAATATCTGTTGGGAACAAAACCCTGAAAACAGCATAGTGGTGATTCAAGCTTCTTTCTCCTTGTAATCTGTGAACACTTCCCAATGCACCAGCCTTGTGATTTGGGAAAGCATAAAATATACGCCTAACTCTCTGATGGACAAGGGCCATTGCACACCTATATGAGAGCAAATCTAGATTCAAGGTGGCCGTGTATTTCTCAACCAGCATGGCTAAAAATGAACGAAAATGTACGTGTGTGTATATAGAGAAATGATCCTGTCCAGCAGTCCCCGGTCCGAACACCGTCCAAACATCGCCGTTTGGGGCACTTCCCGGTGGAATTTTTTGAGCATGTTCTTCATCAAGTCTAGTTTATCCATACCAAATTTTAGCTCGAAATTTGATCGAGAAGGCAGTCAAATCATTTTTTGAAGTTGACTGCGCCAAAATATACATATAAAAACGCAGTCAACTTCAAAAAATGATTTGACTGCCCTCCCGATCGAATTTTGAGATGAAATTTGGTATGGATAAACTAGACTTGATGAAGAACATGCTCAGAAAATTTCAGCAAAAAATTGCACAGGGAAGTACCCTAAACGTCGATGTTTGGACGGTGTTCGGACCGGGGACTGCTGGACAAGATCATTTCTCTCTCTATATATATATGACAAATCTGAACATTTCTTCATTTTCTCCATTAATATTATATCTTGGCAACTTATGATGCAAGAGATGGAATCTCTAACCAAAATAAAAGAGGGTTAGGGGAGAGATAGAGAGATAAGAAGAACTCACATAATACATGGTTCCCAAACAAGGTAGATGTCATAGCCTGTACATAAATAGGGTCTGCTTGATTCAGAAGAGTTTACAGTTTGCAGGTCATCCAAATCGTTCACCTGAAAGAAAACTTTCATGAAAGAGTGGTGGACATTACAATTGTTTGACATTTTTAGTCTATCAATTTAAATTTCGTGAACATAAATTGAGACTACAAATGCTACAAAATAAAGGCGAAATTCATAAGAATAATCCCAACTTTCAAAGATTCTATAATAATGATCCCTAGTGAGAGTGTGTTCATAAAAAAATCGAACTAGCAATGGTGTTCACGGGAATAAATTGGGGTGAATTCAAACAAATGCCCGTTTAATACTCTCAATCCTTTCTCCCACTTTCCCCTTCCCCGCTCTTCTTCTCGGGGCAAATTCAAACTAATGTCAGTTTAATCTCAACACCATTTCCATCATATGCAGTTCCCTTTAGGTTGGAAGATAGAAGTGCTAACCGATGTGAAGAGTGGGGAAGGGGAAAGTGAGGTAGGGGTTGAGAGTATTAAACGGGCATTTGTTTAAATTCACCTCAATTTATTCTTGTGGACACCATTGCTAGTTCGGATTATTTTTGTGAACACTCTTCCCTTAAAGTAGAATCCCTTAAGGTAGGGACTATTGTTATGAATTTCGCCAAAATAAAGGTAACTAAAATTTAATGTGTACAAGTTTTCACACACTTCCTGCTATTAGATATAGATGTTTGTGAGCAAAGAGAAACAGGTAGCGTACATCTGTTGGATTGATTCTTTGTTTTTTTAATGGACAACCAACAAGAGGAGAAAGCAAGCAATCCTCCTGAAGGAAATTGTTTACTGTGGTAGGAAAAAGCCCTCTATCCCTTGCAGAAGACTGGTCAATAGCAACAATAGCCGCATGCCGTAAAGGATGCCAAGAACCGAGGCTGGGAGGAAATTGGTGATCCACCCACTTCCAGGGATGCAAACATGAAACATTATTATCATTTAATGATGACAAAGCCTTTTCTGAGGAATCATCTGCAGGAAACTTTGTTTGGTCAGCCATATCAGTTGATCTATAGTGAGGGGAGGCTTCTGGTTGTCTAGAGCAGCTTATACCCTCCTTAACCTCATTTCTGGACCCATTCAAAGATATCACTTCATCACAGGCACTTGCAATCACCTTATTGGTTGAAGGGTCCACAATTATGGCAGCATTTGTCATCTGTGTAGAAAATTCACATAGAAAGTGTGAACAGTGTATGACTCAACCATCATAAGAATGCAAAATCAGAGGTTGCAGAACTCTTCCATCATGCAGAACAATCATAACATGCCGCAAAAATCCTTAAGAGCCTCACACTAAAAGCAATGAAATCACATGTACATATGAAAACCATTTATATAATTATATCCTATGCTCATTCATCACACATAAAATTTGAGCTTGATTACAAACTTATGTACTTAAGACTATCACATTTAGGACAATTGTTTTCATAAACTTTTAGCTGCTTTCGAAAAGTTTGGAATTTGTAACTTATCATTTTTTTCAGCAGCATGATTTCTTCTTTCAACTGTTTTTGTAGCATTTTGCATTGTAAAAGCTAAATTTTTGTTGCACCCAGATGACATTATTTTTTCCCAACACACTTAGCACTTTATCACCAAACTTTACACAAACAAAATTGATTCGTATTATTACCCAATTATGACTATAATAGACAATATGATAATATCTATAATCAATTGCAGTTTATTGTTTTACATGCTTCCTAGATAAAAGGATTTTTGCATTATCTGCTATTCCAGTAAATCATATTTTAACTCTTGTCAATATGGGAGAAAGCGACTGAAGAGTGAACATTTGAAGAAGAAGAAAAGTAAGACCAAAAATATCTGACCTGAAAGGGATATTCATGTTTCCTAAATACGAAAAGGTGCTTAGAGAGAAGCGCTTACCAGGCCATAGTCGGATTTTGCATTATTACAAGCCAATTGCATGAAGCTGAAAACTAACTGTGATTCCGCTTCATTAAACCCTGTTATTCCACTTATGTTGCTGTAACCGAAAGAATGTAATTTAAAGTCACAAAGTCGAGCATAATAAAGTTATTGCAGAAGAAGATCCTTTAAACTTTAACTCACTATGTTGGTGGATGGAAGGAAGTCGGCCACAGCTTACATTGTTCTTCCCATTCTTCTTTCGTTAATGCGGCATACTTGCAGACCTGAACCATTTGAATGAATGGACGAAACTCATAATATTATATATCTAAGGTGACTTTAGAAAATATAGCATATACCAATAGAAGGTAAAAAGCATAGGATTGTTAGCAAAATAAACTATGGCAATATTTGAGATATAAAACATGGGACTTAATATTGAGCACAATAATTGAAATTCACCAATATAAAACATGTAAGAGACTTGTTAGAATACGAATATGAACCATATGCTATTGTGTTTTTTCTTGATCTGCAAGACCATAGAGGTCATATGCCAGAGAAAACATAAGTTCATCATGGACATAATAAAAAATGCACAAAATTGCACATTGCCGTGAAATCTAATAGATAAAAAGGTGACCCACTTTTGCTATGAAAGTACTCAACTGGTATGCTTTGACAAGCTCCAGCACATCACTTGGCATGTCACTATCACCTTCCATTAACACTGACAAAATCAATGATAACTGAGGCTTTCCTGTCAAATGCACATTTATTGTAAAGTCATCAAGAAAATAGACACTGAATTTGCACATCACCCTGGTGAAAACTCTAAGTATCTCATTACCTCCATCAAGGCACTTCTTGCGTATGCGCTTTACATGCCGCATATTTTCCATTGGACAGATGTTATTCAACTTCCTAAAGGTTGGGGGGAGTAAAAACGAAACCAAAACTAAGCACAGTCTGCTTTCTTTAATTTAAAGCTTAACAGTAATGGGAAAAAAAAGATAGGAGCTTGATCTGGTTTAGCCAATCCAGAACTCCATATAGATCAGAATGAAACAATACAACCAGGAGAGAGCTGACCTTACTAAAGCATTAGCATCTTTAGGTTCAACTTCAGCAGCGTAGACTTTAACTGAAATATCAAATATGAATAAAGCAAGCTTTGAAAAACAATGACAATAAATGTAGTAGACCCATAAGAGTTGGGAGAGCAATACGGTTTGACTAGCATACCGGTGGGTTGTAGGTGAGGCAGAACAGGAAGTTTATCGGGAATGTGAACAATTGCCCAGCCGCACTCAGATGTTGCATCAGCTTCATCGCTTCCATTCATGTTCATTTAGACGTTCCCTGGTGACCAAAGGAATTAAGGAGAAATTTTCTTCGATTGATCAGATGAGCGTAGAGGAGAATTTCACTCCGGCGAGGGCTAAGGGATTCTCGATTGCTTCGGTTGCTGTGTTCGATGGGGTGAGAGAATTGGAGGCGTTGGAGTCGCAATCGGCGGCGGAAAGGGAAGAGAAGGATAAGGTTAGGGGTTAGGGGGTTGCAGCAGGTGGCTAGTCTCTATGGGTAGAACCGTCATTTCTAGTATTCCGTCTTCTTTTTTCTCCTAAAAAAAAAAGTTTACGGACGAAAGGGATCGTAAACTAGGGCGGATCTCCTTATGGATTTTTTTTGTCAAAAAAACAAACAAATTGAAAAGATGACATGTACGGGATACATAACAGAGTTTTCCCAGATAAAAATACAAGGAGTTATGTTTTTGAACAAAAATATGACTAGTCTCTAGGTACGAGTAACTGAACAAAAGTCACTTTAGTGTATTTCAAAGTGACAAACCACTGGTAGATGATGAATCACTGGAACTAGTCATTGAATAAGACACTTTTCAAAAAAAAAATACGACATTCTTGTCCTTTGAATTTAATTTAGAAAATTCATGGGAAAAGGCCAAAGTAATTTTATTAATTTGAGAGCCTTTTGTAATGACTTATTCGGTTGAATCTTCTAAAATATGATAAAATTCAGGATGAAATGACTTGTCCACGGATTCAAGCCCGAGTGTGTCTGGCTTCTTAGTTGGAGTAGCAATATCAGCCAGAAGTGCTTGAGTGGGAGGAGGATGGACGAAACAGGAAGAACAAAATTCACCTACAGTGTAGCAATTCACCTTCCTCCAGTGTCGGAAAGAGATATGTGGAGAAGCACTGCATTTAGAAATTTGATGCTTAAAGTTCCATTAACTTTTTAGAAATTTTGGGCACGAGCTCAATCTTCCAATGGAATTTTTGCCCCTAATGGTAGCGTGAGAAATTGGTAATTTTATGGTAAAATTTGTCAAAATTGATGAAAATCAGTTTGATGAAACTCGGACGACTTATCTAAGGATTAGCGTTTGACAAGAAGAATGAAAATTGGGAAAGAGAATCGGAGACGACTTTGGATGGATTTTAAATGTGAAAACTCCATATTTTTTTTATTTGATTGTTGTATTATTGAACGTGCGTATAGAATTTTTTTACTATAATTTGGAAAGAACAGTTGGATTGAATAAGCTATATATGGACCTGGTTAAGGGCAGGAAATAGTAGAGGTAGATGAAGTGATCAAATAAGGAGTTTATATGACATTCACGATGTCAGACACTCAATACAATCAACTAAATAAACAATTCATTTCACTCAAGTAGTCACTGAACCAAATTACCAAATATAATCAGCACTTTTGCAAAATATAAACAACAATGATAACAGAAATAAAACACAAGGAGCACACACGATTTCTTACGTGGAAAACCCTTCAACGTGAAGGATAAAATCACGAGGTCATTTCAGGAGTCCACTCTTACTTCTCTTACTGATAAACGAGGGTAAAAGAATCCAAAATCGGTCTACAAAGGATTCATAACCCCACCAACAATCACTAAGAACAATAAGGATGTTTTTACTTGGACTGTGATTTGTCACAGATCAGACCTGACCAGACCAGATCAGACTAGACCAGACCAGACCAGACTTGGATATTTATAAAAATACAAAGAAACTAGACCAGACCAGACCAGATCAGACCAGATCAGGCCAGACCATCAAATTACAGTCCAAGTAAAAACATCCTAAGACATCAAAATAGCACAACAAGATGCAGAGATCACCCAAAATTGCAAGTTTGTTCGACCAAAGTTCCTGGCCAAACCAGAGCTCAATGGAAGCTCTTTTCCCATTCACCGGTAGAATCTATCAAGAAAAAACATTGAATTTGAAAATTTAAAATTTCAGATATTTGGAAAATTAAATTAGTTAAAAGATCATGATATTGTAGCATTTGTAATAGCTGAAAGCAGTAAAGTCCGAGAACTTTTGGTGATGGGAGGCTCAAATTGAAGATTATAATCAATTTGAAATTTAACATGTTCACCTCTCAAATTTATATACTACCTATAAGATAGAGACCATTAAAAAAACTTGCCGTTTATAAAAAAGCTCTAAGAAATGTGATATTCATATTTAATCCTAAAACACCACATTCAAAATGTTTGACATCATCATCATTACTCCACTGCCGCAAAAGCTCCCACCTACGGTGAGGTAAGAGGGATCGGATGTACGCAGTCTTACCCCTATACTAAAGCACAGAGAGACTGTTTCCGAATGACCCATAATGAAAAACTTGTCGAAAATTGCATAGACTGACTGTTACTTCATAAAAAAGAAGCACAGACAGTTTAGTGAGTCATTTTGCTTTATTCCATCATATTCAAAATGTTTGACATAATAATTGAAAATTTTAGACCTTTCACTGATTTACGTACAATTCAAAACATATTTGTAGCTCATTTACAATTCAAAACATATTTAGGTATCGATCTATAACCCTTCAGGAGTCTACCGGTTCCGGGCCAGACCAGTTCCAGTTTTTTTGGGTTTCCTTATTTATTTCAACCCTCATCCCCCCATCTCCCAAAGGACCCAAACCCCTCGGAAACGCCCAGCCCACCTACACCCAACCCCAACCCAAAAAACCCAAAAAAAAGGCCCGAACCGAGCCCAAACCGGCCGGGTCAGTTCGTTTTTTCATGACCCAGAACCGCCCCCGGTTACCCCCTCGGGCCGGGCCTAAGCCCAGTTCCGAAACCGGTTTACCAGGCCGGGCCGGTCCCACACAGTAGCGGCCAGGCCGATTCTCAGGCCGGTGAGCCTGAACCGAGTCCATGCCTAATTTTGCCTCATTTAATTTGTTATTCTTCAAAAAAAACTCAATGTAGGGAAACTAAAAAAAAGCTGAGCATTTAGAAGTTTTGAAGAGTTACAAGAAGTCAAGAACACTCTGATATCATCCCTTACCATTTTTTAACTCCCTAGAAAGAAAAGGCAATTGATAAAGAAAATAAGATCAATCTGCCAATCAAGTCTGGGTCCATTTTTTGTACTACAGAAAGTCATCCATCACATGAAAGCCGAATTTCTAATCATACGTTGATTTGCCTGTTTCAGATGAGAGCATTGAGTGAAACTAAAATAACTAATGTGCGAAGCAGCAAAATACAAGATCAAACAAGTATTCACTCTAGAATCATCTGTCCCATTCAGACTCGGCAAAATGTGCAACGTTTCCTGAAGACCTCTGATTAATCCTAGTTTGTTGAGGATCAAGATACCGATTCCATCCCAAAATATGAGGCAAAGCAAACTGCATTTTAAACCCTCATATCACTAAACAATTTACTAGCGAAAATAAAAAAAAAAAAAAAACTGGCAACACATAGGGTATCAAAGGGCAGAGACAGGCTTAAGAAAATCGAATTTGGGTGGGCAGGGGGATCAAATTAATTATTATCTCAGAAAAAATTGCGTAATTTGCATGAACACATGTTTTAGGGGATGGGGATTTTTTCAAGAACTAAGGTGGGCCAAGGCCCAGTAAGCATCTCCCCAACACCTCAGAGAATGAATGATGTGTCCTCTGTAGAAAGGTATGGGGACAGCTAAAGGTTCATACAATGATACAAGTGACAACATTTAATCGATAACTTGTATCTCAGCAAAAGAATACATCATGGTTCATCATCCAAACAAGATATTGGGAGTGTACTAGTCATTCTCACTCAATGTTATGCTTTGGAAAGGATTTTCGTCATGCTCTCACCAACAAGAGGACATTCAATGTCAATCCGGAAAACATAATGTTGAAAGCAATTATTTTTCCAATGTTGATGAATGAAAAGGCAGAGGGTGTAACACCAGAATAAAAATGCGTAGTCTTCCATAAAATAAAATAAAAATTGGGTTGTCATGTGGCAAGACAACAATTCATTCAATTTCGTAGTGTTTGGTTTAACATGGTATGGCAGGGGAAGGGAAGAAAATAAAAATATGTTTGCTTGGTGTAGCACTTTAGCAAGAAGGGGAAGGGTGGAATAAATTTTCCCTTGTGAAGAAAAGAGGAGAATAAAAGAAAAGGATGACAATAGTCCTTCGGATTGCATGTGATTGATTAGGTTTTACAAAATTATGGGGGGGCATTTTTTGTGTTCATGTTGCTTTATCTAATTTGCCTATAATCTAGCCTATTTTGGAAAAGTAAGGGGAAGAGGGGGGGGGGGGGGGGGAGGGGGGTTAATCTACTTTCCAACCTCTTGATAATTATACTGTGCAATTAGGTGGCATACACCCAGTTGCAACGTTACAATGCTACATAATAATCCAACTTTATAATGGGTGTCTGAATCTTAAAACTGTGTTGATGATGATAGAATAAATTTTCATAATAATTTTTTTTTAACCCGGTAGATATCGGGTCTTGGGGTAAGGGCCAGAGAACATCTCACCTGTTTATTGGATAAAAAAGATAAATTTTAAATAATGACTCTAATACGTAGTATTAAATAATGATCACACTAAAAATTGCACTTGTCTCCAACTAGTGGAAATAAACAATAAAAAAAATCATCTCCACTCCCAACACTCTCCTCCTCGCAGTTCCCCTCAACACTAGCTAAAGTGCTAAACGCACCCTTTCAAGCAATCACATGGTTTTGAACAAGCTATGCATGCTTGTTCAGTAATTTGCCTGACCTCGTTTACTACCTTTTTGCCTAACCTTGATCAGTAATTTTCAATTAGAAAAGGGTTTTGTCCCCATCTGCTAATCTGGTTTTCTTTTGTCACCATATAGAGCTAGGAAAAAGAAAAAGTGACAACATTTTCTAAACCGAACAAATATGTGGTATCTATTTACTAAACCTACACAAATAATATACGTAGTAATATATAACTCATTTTCATCTAACAAACTGCAAAATTTCATTAAACATAATAGTGAAACAGCATACACTGAAAACTGCAAAACTTCATTAAACATGATACTCCCTGAAAAGCACCAAATAGATATCCAGTAAATGAGACATGCACATAATAGTGAAAGAGCATACACTGAAAGCTGTTCGCATGACAGCAAACTCAGCACAAGTAACTGGAACAGTTAGCCGATCATTTGTCTTTTGGACATTATTCACAACATCTGCAGAGGAAGATAGAAATAAAACCAAATGTAATGTGTAAATAATAAAACAGTATTTCATTGAATTGCTTGAGAGGAGTTGAGGGGTGAGGAAAATGGCCACATGTTTAAGACAGTAATGGTAAAAAAAAAGTAAATGCATTGCAAAGAGATGAAAGACATGAAACTGTAACTAAACATATTTAGTTGAATATCTTGCAGAAAGTGGAAATAAGTGGCTAGCCCCACTTGGAAAACTTACTAAGAGACATAAAATAACCACTGCTGTCACCATGTGCCTTAACTGACAAGCTTTTTCTAACCTCACCAGCATTGCTGAAAATATTAATGTGATTTGAACAAATGTTATACACTTATATGCATATAGGCAGTAACACATGTACCAAAGGTCATTGAGAAAAACTATAACAAACTGTAACCTTTGTCGCATTGAAGGATCATGGAAGAATTCACAGGAATCATCAGGACCTAAATTCAGCAAAGCTCCAACCTCAGTGGCTGAAAGAGCAAATACCTATATGTAGATCATCAGATCAGTAAGTCCAGCAAATTATCAAAAGAAAGAAAAATTGAAAGGTGTTCATGCTAGAAATTTAGACATTGTATAGTGTTAATGAAAAACAAGGAGGGTGGTCAATAAAAAAAAGGTATTGAAAAAAGACGATTTTGTAGTACTTTAAGCAGCAAAAAAAGCTCTCTGATGTTCAGAAGTTTATTACACACCACTCCTAGTGTTTATACCAGATAGAAAGGGAAAGTATTGCTGTAATAAAGAAAATGAAAATATTACTTGCTTCTTTCCCCAATCATATTTGCGCTCACCAATAGCTGGAAAGAATGTCAACATAATAACACCTTTGCGAGCAACCATTACACCTCCGAACTATGGAATGAAATATTCAAAAAGACAATTACTAAACTATGGTATGAAAATAATTTTAGAATATAAGTTGAAAGGGTTAAAGAAACATATACATCTGATTTACTGAATGTTGGAAGTGTGGGTGAAGCAGAGAGGGCAGCTTTGCCCTTGTATATTGTATAAGGAGCAAATACCTTTTGCTGCAATGTTCCTAATGGAAACTAACTCCATAAGACATAATATGTAAGAAAAAAATCCATCATTGAATGTATATACTGAATTAGGGAGATTAATTTTTCAAATAATTTTGGTACCGTCAGCCACAAATTTTTTTGTCGCAGCTATTCCAGCCAGGGATGAGAACCCACGCAAGCTATAGTGTACAAGTAAAAGTAATTAGCTACAGAAACCATTTGACCAGTAAAAAAAACCAATGCATGTTTTGACTTCAGCAAAGCAACACAATGTAAATGCAGCAAGAAATTCAGAATAAATTAAAGAGTAAGCACACCATGCTATATAACATCTGTTAGTGAACCAAATCCTCAGATTATAATTGTCTTAGGCGCCCTCAAGAAGGATGTAACATCAAGTCTGCATGACCTCCCACTCGAAATGACTATGAAATTTAATATGTAGCCTGAAATGACCAAGTGAAATATGGAATTCTGGAACGAAACAAACAGAAACCCACCCCATAGTGACAGGCACAGATGTTCATTCTATGCCCCAATTCTATGTTCCTTATGCACAGTTTGACCGGACTAAATTCTTGAGACAAGCAAAGACAATAATAAAAAAGGGTGTTAGTAATGCTACAACCGTGACTACCAAGCATTGTGTTAGAAATGGAAGTCTATGGTAAAGGGAGACATAGACATGAAGGTCTAGGGTTTAAGATAAGATAAACCCGTGACTGCCAGAAGAAGAAGATAACAAGTTTCACACAAATGAGAAATGGAATAAGTAATAATCAGGAGAAGAAAGGGGGTTTGGTTTACCTGGAGCCCAGTCTCTTTGAAATATTCAACATCCTGAGCGGAGATTTTGAGTGAAAGGAGGGAGGGGATGCTCGGGGCTGAGGAAGCCAGTGCGTTCCCTTGAAATATATGGCCTTTTCGTAAAACTGTGCTTCTAGGAGCGCTAGGGTGAAAAAAATAAAAGGCTAAAGAAAGGGTGTCCAACGGTTTGATTTAACCCAACCGAACCGTATCAAACCCAATTAAATCGAACCGAAACCGGATCGTATGCAATTTGGTACTATTTCTTCCAAATCGTATTAAACTGAACCGAACTGAAACTGATAAAAATCAAACAAAACCGAACCGAACTAAAGAAACTCAAAAAACTTTCATATATTATTAAAATTGGTGGTTTGATTTGGTTTGGTTTGGGTTTACTTAAGTAAACTGTTTGGTAAACATTTGCTCAAATCGAATGGTTTGGTTTGGTTTAAAACGGAAAAACCGTAAACAGAACTGAACACCGAACAACATATATATATATAGTGGTCTTCTTGTCAGGCCGGCCTGACGGGATGCTCCGTCCGGTCGAGCCCGTTTGGTCACCTTCGCGGTGGAATTTTTTGATGAATGTTTTTGAATATATATATATGTATATATGTATGTATGTATGTATATATATATATATGTATGTATATATGTGTGTGTGTGCATATATATATAGTGGAAATGGAAATGGAAATGCAAGGACTCCCTCTGGGCTAAACTCATCCACTGCAAATATCCTATAGGCCCAAACATACCCCCTAAACCCACTGATTCGACCATTTGGAAAAGAATTTGTTCTATGAACCACCAAGGTTGCACTCTTACCTCAACAAACTCCTCTGATCACACATTTTGGCTCCCATCAAAGGATGGTAAGTTCGTCTTCTCCTCAGCTTATAATGAAGTTAGACTGTGTCTACCATCTTCCTTCTCCGCTACCCACACCTGGAACAACCAACAACACATGAAAGTTAAACTTTTTCAATGGAAACATCTCAACAACATTCTGCCCCTACCAGAAAACCTAATCAAACTCAAAATCTCTATCCTTCCATCCATTTGCCCTTTCTGTAAGCAGGACTCTGCCCACTTATCACACATTTTCTACCATTGCCCCTTTATATCCCCCGTTTGGCACTACTTCATGGGACTTTTTCATATTGCTCGCCCTATTTCTTCTGCTCCCCTAGACAAATATACTTTTCTTGGTGGCTTGAGGTAAGGGGTACTACGTTGATGGACACCTTTAAGCTCAACCTACCAGGAATTATCTCGTGGCACATTTGGAAACTCTATGCAGAATTTACCTGGGACTCCACACGACACACATTCAAATCAGATAGACTCATTCAGCAAATAAAACACTACACTCAAGACTGGTCATGGAGTCTTCGAAGAATGAAAATCAATGGCCAATGCGACTTTCTCAAGGAGGAAAACTTTGTGTGCCCTAACTTTTCATTTCATACAAAAAATATCAAACTTATCAAATGGATTAAGCCTACAAACTCTTTCAAACTTAACATAGATGCAGCTTTCGAACCTGGAATCTCAGGAGCGGGTGCCATCCTTCGAAATCAGTCGGGACAGTTCATCCTAGCGCTGTGTTTTGCCACCTCAGCCGTCTCAGTGCTCGACGCAGAAATGCAGGCAATCCATCAGGCGGTACTTTGGATAACGAAGCAAGGGTATACCAAGGTTACTGTAGAATCCGATTCCAAGCTCAGCATCGCCTTGATCAAATATGGAAAGCTCTCAGGTGAAAACAAAAAGATCATTGAGGAACTCAGACATTGGGCCTTTGTTGGCGATCATCTATTCACACATACTTTCAGGGAGGCTAATGGACCGGCCCACTTCTTGGCCCGTCACTCAATCAGCACAGCCCACCCACTCACCATACTCTCTTATGAAACATTGCCGGCCCGAGTAAAAGAAACGTTTCGTATTGATGATTTGGGTCTTCCATTTTTCCGTCATTAACGTTAGTGTAAATTTCTCTTGTAAGGGTAAGGCCACACGTCCCCCCTTTTTCTTCTTCTGATCTTCTCTATTTTAAATAAAATCTGGTAAGCGTTTACCTGGCGCTTACCTCACCTTTTTCGGGTGGTTTCTTTCGGGTTATATATATATATATATATATATATATATATAATGATTTGAATGCCTTACCGGTCGAATTTTGATCTGAAATTTGGTATGGACAAACTAGACTTGATGAGGAACATGCTAAAAAATTTCATCAAAAAATTCCACCGGGAAGGTGCCAAAACGGGCTCGGCCGGACGGAACATCCCGTCAGGCCGGCCTGACATGAAGATTTGTCTATATATATATATATATATACTCCCTCCGTCCCGCAAAATAGTTCCCGATTTCCTTTTTCGGTCGTCCCAAAAAATAGTTCCCATTTCCCCTTTTGGAAAGTTTTGTGTGGCTCACATTCATTTATCTTTTTCTTACACAACCATAACCATACATTTCCACTTTATTCTCACTTTCTTAAACTTTGATCCAAGTCAATGCGGGAAGTATTTTATGGGACGGAGGGAGTACTTTGTATTTATCTTCACTCTCAGGGGCGGCCATGTATATTTGAAGGCCTAGGGGCGAATACTTCAAAATGGGCCTAAATGTTTTAAAAAAATTGTAAAACCTGTTTCTTTTTAAATTATATGCAAAATAATAATATTTGAAGAGTATTTTTATTTATTTTCCATGTTTCTAGTATATTATGCATGTGAGAAATGTCTACACTTAGCATGAAGAGGATAATTGAGTTGCGTCTCTTTTATAGGGCCTTTTTCCATTACAATATCATTTGTTTTGGCATCTAGATTCCAATCACCAGGGTCATAAATATCCAAAATCAAAGGACCAACAATTGAAGTTGATACATTTGATCTATCCAATTCATTTTTTGGTTGCTCACTATCTAACTTCTCTTCTTCATTTTTTTTCTCCCATCCTTATTCCCTCATTTTTATTAAACTTTGAAATTAATTAAGTTTATAGTTTAATTATAATTGAAAATTTTTACCTAACAAATGAATAAATTATAACACCAACAATCAATAGGTAATAATCAACAATTAAGTTATTAACATGTAATAATTAAACTAATTAAAAATCAACTATTCATAATCATTTATAAACATTAAACAACTATGAATTCAATCAATTTATCAATTAATAAACTGGTCACATAATCACATGTTTGTATTATTCAAATAAATTAATAAAAGAAAATGTTAATTGTTAAAAATTGATCACATAATCAATAAAGAAAATGTTAAAAACTATAATTTTGCAAAGTGTAAAACATTGATAATGGCTTATGGCCAAACAGCCGAAGCAGAAGGTCGGAACTCAGGTCAGAAGGTGCACCTAATGACTAGACCTGTTGAAGGCTTGGAGAGTTAGAGACTTGGAATCCTGGACACGGATGTCGAAGCCTCGAAGAGTGAACTGCATGCCTGCGTGAGTTTACGGCTGTGGGGGTGAAGGGTTACGGAAGTAACAAAACTCAGTTTACGGGATGGAACTTAGCGCGTTACGTCGTTAGTTTAGTTACTCCGTGTTTTTTTGGGCTTTTGGGCTGCACAACATTAAAACTTTTGGGCTGAAAATCAGCCTACTCAAACATATTATAAAGAAATAATTCTGGGCCTAATTTTTTTTTCATTTTTTGGGCCTAGGGCCACCGCCCCACCTGCCCCCCCCCAGGGCCGCCCCTATCCACTCTTCATTTTTAAGATATAAACATGGAAATACATATTTAAGCATATACTCGTATCCTTAAAAAATATATATATATATATATATATATATATATATATATATATACTCGTATCCTTATAACTTTTACACATTTCATACATTTATTTTGACAAAGTTAGCTAATACGACATATTTGTATTTATTATGTTTGGCGATAACAATAGCAAATTGCATTTATTTTTTTACATGATTCATTTGAATAAAATTCTGAATATTACAACATTTGTACTACCGACTCTTTTAGGGTTTTTTTTGAATATTTTATGTGATATTATAATGCTAATCAACTATCTTATTTTTTGTATGAAGTGAATTTTTTGTACTGATAAAAAAGATGTTAGAAGTTTTAATTTATAATATTTTATTATTTATTCTTCTATCTTTTATTTCTTTTTACATTTTATTTAAAAAATCAATAAATTAAAAAAGATGAGATGAACTACTACTTTCATTTTCTAATTCTAAAATATAGAACTTGATCAAATAAAATAATAAACATAAGCAAACGAATCAAATCAAACTAAATTAAACATAATATTTTTTACTTTGGTAAACCGAACTTCAAACCGAACCGAAACCAAATCGAAACACAAATGGTTTTAATTTGGTACAAATTCTCTCAACCCGAATAAACCGAAACCGAATCGAAACCGAAGAAAACCGAACTGTAAACCGAATTGCCCACCCCTAGGCTAAAGGGTCAAATAGGTCCTTGAACTAACTTAAAGTGTTCAATTAGCCCCTTATATAGGAGGTTCAACCCGGCCATCGCCAATTGGGAAGGTTCCCGGTGGAATTGTTTGCTGAAATTTTTTTAGCATCTTCTTCATTAAGTCTAGTTTGCCCATATCAAATTTTAGCTAAAAATTAAATCGGGAAGGCAGTGAAATGATTTTACGAAATGTACTGCGTTGTTTAACTGCACAGTTATCTTCAAAAAATCATTTGACTGCCTTCCTGGTTGAATTTTTAGCGGAAATTTTGTATGCGTAAACTAGACTTAATGAACAAGATGCTCAAAAATTTTATTAAAAAATTCCACTGGAAACGGCCCCAATTGGCGACGGCCGGGCAGAACCTCCCATATAAGGGGCTAATTGAACACTTTAAGTTAGTTCAAGGACCTATTTGACCATTTAGCCAAAATAAAAAAACGGCTCGAGTTGTCCATTGATAACCGCTTTCGCGGCGTTGTAGTAAAACGGAGTCTAACCTTTCGGTTTTTCCCCGAGTATCGTGTCTCTCGAGGAATGGCGGAGGAGCTTCTTGATTTTAAGTGCAGTCACAGGTTATCGCAAATTATTGGAAGCTTTCCAAATTAAACTTTTGATTGATTTTCTAAACTACTTTTTGGAAAGGA